ACAGCAAGAAGGTCCTGAGTTCTTTCTGTGTGGCGTTTATGTGCGTTCTCCGTGTACTCCAGCTTGCTCCCACAGTCCAAAGACATGCAGTTAACGGGGATAGGTTAACTGGAAACAATTGCCCATAGGTGTGAATGGTTTTCTCTGTTTATGTGTTAGCCCGGGGACAGACTGGCGAAGTATCCAGGGTGTACCCCGCCTCTTGCCCTAAGACAGCTGGAATAGGCTCCAGCGCCCCCCGTGACCTTGACAAACGGAGGCGAATGGATGGATGGATAGAACCAAATCTTCTTTGTTTTTTCTTTGGACACTTCTTTTATTTCTTAGAGACTAGCTGCCTGTTTTTTCTAAGATGGAGGTTAAGTTGAAAACAGCTGTTCCAATGTTTCAAGATATTGTTTTATTCAGGCATTTCACAGTTTGATGAATCGTGTCTTACCTTATAACTTATGCTTAACATGGAATTTTTAACTACCCTTTCCAGGCAGCAAAAACTACTATCTTGGAATACATCCTAAGGTGCTAATGCTAAACTTGTTGTTGAAATTGTTGAAACTTCAAAGAAGCCAGCAATCGTTATTATTGTCCAAAATCTGGATCTTTGATCATCTCTGCCTCTACAGATCAATAACTGTGGGTAATTTTTATTCATGACCATGAATTTTCTCCAACTTTTAACACGACATTGTTCTGCCTAATCTTTTCTAAACCTTAAAAATACAAATGGCAAATCCAAGACTTCTCTCTAAAACGCCTGTCCTGTTTAGCTGCTTGTCTTAGATACTGTGCAGTGTACTACTGGACCACCACTTCTAGATTCCTTCTTTAAGGAAACTATAATCTCAGATTTTCATATAAGACAAAGGCTTTTGTAGATACACCACTACATTAACATTCCCGTGCTCAGATGTGGAACAGGAAAACAGCCAAAGAACTGTCATCGATTTTTCTCACAAAGTGGCATTTTTCATGAGGATCTTGCAAAGGAAGACAAATAAATAAAGATGTATAAATGCATGCATATCCGTGAGCATGCATGCACATATTTATGCACAATGACGGAGATGGATTGTGAATTACAAAGGGCTGCAGCAGTCACCCTCAATATTTCATGAACATCCTTTCACTTTCAGTTCTCTCTTTTTTTATTCTGACATGTTCAGCACTCTTTTTTCCAAAAAAAGGTTTTATTTTTGTCAGTCTCCTCCCTGAAAAAAGCTGGGGTAAGGGAGTGCAGACAGGAAAGGGGGAAAAAAGTGATCACAGAGAAAGAAAAAGAAGCTTTGACGCATTTGGAGAAAGGGGGATTGATGGGAGACGAGCAGAAAAGGTGAGGCAGTAGCAGCGGCTGTCTCTGAACACAGATGAACCTCACTTTTCACGCTTAGATACCTTCCTTCCTGCTTTGTGCACATTCACATGTGCCGGCTTTGTAAAGTTTACTCTTGGAAGAAAAGGCATTGCAACCCCGAGGAGGCAAAGACAAAAACAAGGCTGGTTGTCATGATTGGTAAAGGCGAAAATGGTTTCGTAATATAGCGAGGCCACTGAAGTTAAGCAAAACCAAGGAAGGAGAGAGCGATTTTAATGTCAGCATTTCTCTTCACAGCGGCCATTTTATAATCATCTCCCTGGTGATTTCCTGTCAGACATGAAAAGTTTCTATTTCCTCACCTCGTTCCAACTAAGTTTGGCTGAATTTAAACTTTTAGATTTGTAGAGTTCATGAGTTCGTATGTTTGAGGTTGTTAAAATCTGACATAAATCCTCAATTGAGGTTTCAGAACAGGAGTCCTATTGTAAAGCGGGAGGGACCCATCACTGACACGATCAGGTTTGGGGTTCCCAGGAAGTTAATTTGTTTTTGCCCAGCTGCTGGTTTGTTCTGTCTTTGTAGCATTTAAATTCACATTAATAAGAGTCCAAGACCTCATGTTCGCCTTCAGGGATCCGCGACATATAAGAGTTGATTAATTTGCCTCTGTTTCATGATAGTGGTCATGTCAGTAATAATAATTGCATCCTTCAGTCCTGTGGTATTATTTCCTCATGGCTCTGAATATCCTCTTGTACTTGACAAAAAGATATGCATGTAGGGGATGGGTGTATAACAGTCCACAAATCTAGATGGTAGACTCCCCATTTCTTATCATCTCCTTCAACTCTGTTATTCCTCCTCTTCCAAGTACAGAATAAATCGAGCCTTATTTCAAAGCAGTATCTGGCTTTCTTTTCTCACCTGGCTCCTTTCCCTTTCTTTAGCCCCGTTTCTCATGTTCACCTACCTTATCTGCTTCCTTTCCTTTCTACTTTCTCCTGCTGTTTCCATCCCGACTGCCTTTTCTTGCACCTCGCTGGAACCTTTTAATGAAGGAACAAACGCACACGTTCAGCTGAATGTCACTGCATTGGCCCAGCTCCCGCTCCGTCTCTCAGCTGCTTCCTGTGCCTAACACCTTGCTGATGTCGGGCTTGGCCTTTGCCGTACTTGAACTTCAGGGAAGAGTGAGTTTTAATCAAGGCGACGTGGCTTTTCACATCCTCTTTCAGAGCCACTCTTGACTTTGATCTGAATTCCTTTCATGAGCATAATGGAGAGTTGTGAAGCCTGAATTTCACTAGGTTGCATCAAGCAAATCGTCCCAGTTCTGCAATGTACAAAGTAAGCAATATTCAAGCTGTTTTAGCTTCCATTGAGTATCGGTGATTGGTGGGAGATTGGTGCAACCTATTGTTAACGTATGTATTGTCTGAGAGTTATACTATTATAGTGATAATCTTATAAAGAAAAGGGCAAGGCTAAAATTACATAAGGAAGTGAAAGGAACAGAATCTAGTTCATGATTATTAATTTATTGTTTAGCTAGATGTGTTAGTGTATTCTCTTTTTCCGATTTCTCATGAATTTTCCTCAAATTGCTTGCTTTTTGCCTTTTATGTTCAGTTTGTAACAAAACACTTCACTTCCTGTCTTTGCAACACCAGCAAATTTGTTAGGCTCATTTTTTTCTAGTCACGACCACTTTAGTCAAAATAGGACTGCAATTCCATTTGAAGGCATTTAGGTGTGGCAGAATTGCTTTGTTCTGGCTACAGTCTCCCCAAACTATGTACATATATGAAAAGTTTTGTGCAGGGTGGTCCACATCCTTGTCCTACCATGCACATGCATGAAGAAATCAGAAGCCTCTCAGAGAACACCGCAGGCATCTCCAAAAGTTGATTCTGTTCCTCTGGACGTAGGTTTTCTGTGGGAGAAACATTTCGTCACTCATCCAAGTGACTTCTTCAGTCTCAGCTGACTGCAGGTTTCCCCAATCTTATGAATAGTACATTTGCACAATGACTGAAACCAGCCCACTGAATGAACAATGGGCTGGGAAGTCAGTTCCTTGATCATTAATATGCAACTTCTCATGACCATTGATCAACAACCACTGATCAAAGCTCATTGATCAAAGACCACGAATCAATAGCCGCAAAAAGGCCATTGCAGAAGAAGCAGGACATGTAAAGGTCTTATCAGCCCAAAGGAAACGTGCTAACAGGCATCTTCTGATTCTTAAGGTAATGTTTGTTAACACTGTGGTCGGTGGATCTGCTGGGATTGGCAGATGAGCTTGACTCCGTGGCCTACCAGATTTATTTGCATGTACTCTTTTTAGTCTTTTAGCCTCTACACATCAACTTCCACATATTATTTTTTAACCTTTAAGCAGCTTAAAATTTATTAAAATCATCTATCAATCGATCCGTGTGTGTTGTGTCCTGCTTTTTCCATAGCTTTTATCTAAAATTATGTCCATACATTGCATACATTAAACCCAAGCCTTTTTTTTACCTTTTCAGTCTGGAAAACCTGGAAAGTTAATGTGAAAACATTAACATGAGTGATCTCAATCCTCCTTTTATGTCTGAATATATTTAACCCTCTGATGCATAGTGGTCACTGGAGTGGACAGCTACTAAAACGTACATATCTCTTTAATGCATTGGTTTCTATGGTGGAACTGCATATTAGCCTCTAGAGTGCTCTCTGCTGCCATGCTCCATTGAGGTCAATTCAGTGTTCAGTTAATGCAACTGCAAGTAAATTTCCTCTGAATCAAAGATGGCAGACAAACTGTCACCCCTGCCGACCACTGCTGGCATATCCTGTCAATCCTTCTATGCTAAAAGAGCCCAACAGGTAAAAAAAATATGATGATATGCAGTAACATCTAGGGAAGGATATTATCTGTTTGGAATAAGAAATTGTTATGTCTAATATGTAGAAAACTACGATTAACCATGTGTCCACTGTAGTGGACATCATGCATTACCCACTATATTTTTTTAACATAAGTCATAAATTGTCTCACTGTTTTTTGGGACTGTTTTGGTTATAAGTAAGCATATAATTGTTACATTTATAAGCTACTCATTTAAAATGTATATTTCTGTGCAGATCAGCTGTAGTTTGAGTTACTATAATAATTATTTTATCATATTTTGTAGACTTCAAATGCAGCAAAGAATAAGGCAGCGTACAGAATAGTCCAGGAAATTCCATCCAGCTCCAGTGATGATGATTTCATTGATGAGTGCAGTGATGATGAGTTCAGTGATAAGTCCAGTGATGATGAGAGTGGCTGCCAGAGCAGAACAGAGACATAGGAACTACGGACAGCCTAGGTGTGATGAACACAGAAGTGTTTGGAGATGCAGAGACTAAGATGTCAGTTTGTGTTTTCTTCCAGCATGCTACTAAGGGCTTGGTAATACTGTCCTGCATCGTTATAGAACTGTGTAGACTCAAAAATGTTTCTCTTGTTGGAGATAGTTTGCCATATTCAGGTGTAGGATTCACAGCTAGGACTGTTGATTGGTTTTGTTATTTACGTCTAAACATTGGGGCCTTATGAGTTGAAAGTTCCAAAAAAATTGCTGAGATGTTTTTCAAAGGATACAAGCAAACAAGTGTTTGTATATTTACAATAGAACACAAGGTAATTATTTTTATAGTAAATTCACAGTATTTCATGCTAAGTGCTCAGGCGCATGTAGTCCACTGGAGTGGACAAGTTTATAACTTTATAAAAAAACATATTTTTGGGAAAAAAAGAGTTGAACATTTTTTTTCATGTCCTGAGAAGAATAAAGGCACTTAAGAAAAAAATCTTGACCAAGGCTTTCATAATTCATGCATCAGAGGGTTAAGTTGTGTAAGATAAGGTATAGCACGTTCAGTATTTGCACATGCATCTTTTATTATATAGCTGTTTCACCCAACTGTAGTATCGTGCCAAGAATTCCCCGAGTGAAAGATATAGATTTGGAGAGAACATACGAAGAGCCAAGGCCAACCGGTATGTGTGGAGACGGGCAAGGCAGAGATGGATGCAGAACCACGTCTTGTGTGAGTTATAGTAAACACAATGAAAAATATCTATTCAGAGTCTTGTCTATATCGATCGCTCTCAGAGTGCATGTGTGCACCTTATCTCATCCTGCTGAGGATTCATTTCCCTACTCTCATGAAAGAAATAACAGGTGGAAAGAACTTGATGAGAAGGGTAGAAACTTTTTCTTCTCTTTCTTTTGCAACAAACTTTGCTCTTTTTTTGAATTTTTTCTAACTTATTTCTGCTAACATACACACACAGATGTAAAGTTCATATGTACATGCATTGATTTCTGCGTGAGATTATTAGGGCACAGAGTCAGCTGAGTGATGTAGCGAGACAGGGGAAGACACAATGCTTGCATATTGTTTTTTTTTCTCCACTAGTCAAGAAGAACTTAACTAAAGAGGGAAAGGGGGGAGCATGCACGCTGTGTTTGCATGTGTAAGAAAGAAGAAAGGCATCGAAGAACCCAAGAGAGCAGAATACTTGGTGCTGATGAGTTTGATTATGTTGCCTCTCATATAAAACTGTTGTTGTGTGTTTTCATGTGTGTGCCTGTGGTGTAGCGCATGTGTGCTCCTTGCTTTCAGAGTTTTGACAGAGCATATCCCCGTGTATCTTTCCTCTAATTGAATCCATCCCTCAGGGTGTCACCGCTTGTTTATATGCTGACACCATGAAGGTGTGTGTGTGTGTGTGTGTGTGTGTGTGTGTGTGTGTGTGTGTGTGGTTTCACAATAAAGGCAGTACATTGCAAACTTTCTGCCCTTATTGTTTAATTATAGCCCAGCAGCTGGAGAGTCAGAGGATAAGAACAAGGGCAGAAGAGGAAGAGTTATTGATTGCATTAGTCAGATTATTCATATTTAATGTTTTGCTTTGTCTCTGTCTCACTACATAAACCCCCTCCTCTGCCTTTTCTTTATGCCTCCCTGTTATAAATCCACCTCATCCTCTTGTAAGACCTCTAGTAAACAATATTTTGTATGCATCAGTAAAACCTGCCCTTTACATCTTCACCTTTCAAAAGGTTTCCCTGAATTTTGAGTTGTTATTAACTATAAAATGATTATATTTATAATCCTTTGTCCTTTAAAGGAGGACAAAGCACATACATTTAAAGACTTTTCTATATATTTTACAGTGACAATTTGACTTATAGTCTATAAAATTAAGTGTGTACTCTGTTGGAGCAAGTTGTAATCAGAGGATAATAAGCAATTATAATATATAGCGTATATAGGCTAGCAGTAGCAGTGCCTGAAGCATTTATTCAGCGCTTGCTAACATTAGCTACTGTCAGACACCAAAAGCTGCTGGCTGTAGCAGACCAAGGCTAGCTACAAACAAACCACTAAACACTCAGACACAAACTCACAGAACAGGTGTTCTGTGTCTTTCAGTGAATATCCATTATACGCCCCCAGAGGCTTAGTCAGCAGACTAGCCAGTGGGAGCTAGCCTGTTTTTCCTGTCTAACTCCAGAGGAAAAGCTGCTAATTGGGGATGCTAACTAAGGTTGTCTGTTACACAGTTGTAGACCATGTAGCACAGAGTGTGTCTTAGCAGAACTACTTATTTACTTGCTAAAGAGGCTGAAAGATGCTGTATATTTGAGCTACAGAGTCAGATGGTAATTATTTTGTAATCAGGTTATTACTGGCACTGTCTCCTTTCACTAGTTAAGAGAACCATTAAACATTGCAGAAGCCCCAACTAAGTTGTTTAATAAAAACACAAAATACAAGCTTGCATTGTTGTTGTTTTTTAAATTATAATACATGTTTTTTCGAGTACCTTCTTTTAAATGTCCATTTATGCTTGTTGGTTTCATATCGGCATATACACATAAAGAGATCGACAGTGAATCCCTGAAATTTGGTAACATAACAGGGGAAATAACTGTTTAAGGTGAACAATCGAAGCTGCTACCAAATGGAACGAACAATGCTATTTGATTGAGACAGGGTGTTTGAAGGGTTTAACTATGTAACCAGCTCTAACTCTCCAAACCTCAACCTTCCTCTGTATTGATTTAAAACTGCAGCAAAATGGCAGCCTTGCTAAATAACAGATAATATAAAGTCTCCATTGAACCACCTATAGCGTGAGCCACTAAGGATCTATAAAAATATCTATCCATTGATTTGTAGCTAGTGTAGCTACCAACCAGCAAAGGGGAACATCAGATTGCCTAAGGTCTTGGGTATCTGTCTGGGTATTAATCTTCAGCCTGGGCCTACAAAAGCATTGCTAGTTGTTCTTGCTCTTAGTTCTTATTCCTTGCTTCCAAAGGTTCATGTGTAAATTTTCAAATTTTCTGTTTTTTACACCATGTAAGTGTTTAATATGAATCATACTCTTCACATCCCAACTGAAGATGGCTCACAGAGCTTCAAAAATAAGTGGCCTGTCAGAACTCACTAATTTGACAGATCTTCATATTATTGCAGAAGAGATCATTTCTGGTGAAAGCGTAGGAGGCTGAGAGGGAAAAGGGCAGGACCAGGGAGAGGTTGATTATCACATATTGATTCTGCAGAGATGCATGTAGACTTGCCTTTCTTCGTACTGTACTATAGATTCATGCAAAGTGCATACAGTTCCCTGTTTTATGTCCTTTGGCAGAGTACATTTGCTTCCTTTATGAATGTTTTCTTGCTGACCTATCTAGTATATACACATTTCCTTAATGAGGACAACTTCTGATTTAATTAGAGCACAGGCAGCAGCGTATTCTACAGGTGTAGATTAAGCTTGTACTGGAAAAGCAATGTTTGGTTTTTTAAATTTGGAAGAAGCTAATTAGCACACATTATTAATAGATATATTTAAAAACGCATCTTTAACCATTCCCTGTCATATGCAGAAGCATTATTATTTTGTTTCAAAGGTTTCTGGAAATTAATTTATTATCAGTTTGCTATATTATTTTTGCACAAATAGGACCAAATTTGCCTGTATTTGAGCTGGAAGGAAAACCAAGTTTCATCAGTGTGTTGAGTTCGATACCCCTACTTTAACAAATTAGCTTATAATGATTCGTTTCTGTTCATTCGTGGGCTTCTCAAAGTTTTGATGACTTGAAATTTAGCGGGCTAATGTATGGTTAAGGGCAACACAGATAAAATGGACCCATTAATTAAAATAACTATTTATTAAACAGTTAGCTGATAAAAAGCTTCCTGACAGCACAGGAGAACCTGCAGAGATGTTGAGGGATTCCTAACCCTGCACATGCTTTCCAGGAAGTGCAGTTTGAAATAGTCCAGTAGTATAACAATCAAGCCTTGGTTGGCCTGAGTAGATATTAAGAAGTGAGTCTAGGTTTATTTTTTTTAATGTTAATTTTAAATCATGTTTCAAATTTAGTTCACTCATTTTGTTTGTTTGTTTTTTCTTTCCAGTCATTAGTTAGGCGTCAGGCTCTAGAGACCAGTCTGCAACCTGCTGGTAATCTCCAGTTGTGGGACATGATGTGTAATACACAACTGGTTGGCGAGCGGTTGCTGGCTGTCACCAGGTGAAATTGGTCACTTGCTTCACTAAAGCATTTGCCCACTGCAGGTATTTTTTCTTCGTAGGTTACTAATGCAATTTACATTTAAACCTGCTGTACAACAAAACATTTTCCTATTCTCCTCTCTCCATAACATTTATATATAATGGTAATTTGTTGGCCAACGAGATTATAAAATTTCTAGCTAGTTTTGTCTGGAGCTTGAAGGAGCTTTATGAGGATGTATGGAGAAACCTAGCGATAATGGTTTGCGCTGGTGAAGACTGCTAATATCAGTTGCTTAAACAAACAAGCCCGTAGAGCTCATTATTTTTAATTAGCCCCGCCTTCTTCTTCCTTAACTGCAAAGACATGCTGGCGCTGCCATAGTGTCGATTCCAGTTTGCACTCTTTAAAACTTTTAGTGCCACTCTTCTCAAAGTAGAGGCCCTCGTGGCTGAGCTTTTGTTTCCTGCTTAATGATCCCGCTCCATGTACTGACTGATCTTTTTAATTGCATCCCTTTGGACTCAGAACTTTCTCTGCATTCTCCAGTGTGTGACATAATCAGGCACAGCCTTCCAGATGCAACAATCATTATCCAAGTGATGCTACTGAGGCTTCCTTTGGACACAGACTTAAATATCCAGCCTACATCAATCAATACTCCTGTTAAGAACTGTTTGGAACTACCAAAGATTGTTGTATTCTTGAATGCTTCTGCGTAGCACAGGTAATACTTAGTGTCAATTAATGGACGCAGTCAAATTCCTGATTTCTTATTTTTATGTATCTGAAACATTTAAGAGTGACAAAAAAAAAGGAAATCAGGAACATCCACACACGTACTCATCATCTAACAGATGCATTGGGGGTAACTTTGGGTTCAGTACCGTGACCAACGATCCCTGAGCACATGGACTGTAGGAGCCCAGGATTGATCCAACAAACTTCAGCTACCACCTGAGCCACAGCCCAGAAGAACGAATTCAAGACTGCTTAGCTGAGACGTTTGAGATTCTTTTCTACTTCGTGTAAAGCAATCAAGCCAGCGGAGGCTTATTTGGACTAGCACAACAGAGGGTTGTTTAAAATTCTCTGTTTCACCATTTTCATCCATCCTGCTCTTGCTTTTCTGTGTTGGCAGGTCATGCTGACCCAGCTTCATAATGGGTCAGTGGGATGAACGAGCAAGTGGCGACTAATGCGATAAAAGACAGACAAGTCATTTGTCCTCACGGCCTGCATGCACACTTTTACACACCACTCCTTCTATTCACATGTGTGAAATGCTCACACTTGGACACACACACATATGACAAACTGTTATCTTTCTGTCTAACATTGTTAACCAGACTGGATGCAGGGTGCTGCCTGCAGGTGTAGTGCCATCTATAATACGAGTGGTGTGTGTTGTTTGCATGTATTCAGTAAAAATGCGGTGTGGTTGTGTGTGTGTGTGTGTACTTATTGAAACAGTATTACCCTAATCTGTGTTTAGTCTCATCATTGATTGGTGTCACATTGCTCTAGCTGGCATTTAGCCTAACCACATTAGGTCTGCTCACTTCGACCCCACGGTCAATAAAATTCATGCGCTATGCATCAAGATGTCGCCACGTTCACTAACTGTAGACTTCATCCTCCTTTTAGTCAGCTTTCCAGTCTTCCAGCATCTGCCTTTGTCGTCTTTTGTTCTGCCTCAGACGATCTCATCTAAAGTGCCTATCCATCTCCCTCGCTAACACCCTGAACAATTTCCAACATGCCTTCCTAACGGATCTTTGGTTAAGAGAAATGAGAGCAGTGACTGCCACTCTGTACAGTTACAAGCAAGCTTTCCTATTTCCCAATTTTTCCTTCTTGGCTTGTTCTCCTTTCAGAAACAGCTTTTGATATAAAGAGATAAACATGCATCACTTTGTCAGATGAGGCTGGGATAATGAGGTCACTGGAGAAAGCCTTGAGAAATGCACATTTTTCTGCCGATTGTCACTGTAAGCTGCTGTCATCTCTCTGTGTTATATTCCTTAACTACTGTTCTGCACATGGTTCGAGCGAGCGTCCATGCTGGTGATCCTGCTGAACTGTGTGACACTGGGCATGTTTCATCCCTGTGAAGACATCAACTGTGACTCGGAGAGGTGCAAGATCTTACAGGTAAGGCTGTTCCTGGCTCAATATGATATGTATGAACTGTGTAAGTTGTAATTGTGCTTCACTTCCAGGACATCAGAGTTCCTATATATGTGTGTGATTGAACTTGCACAACAACGGCTTACTAAGAGTCAGTAGTTGTCAAGTTTAAATTTGTATTTGCTTTTACATATTGTGGGTTCAGTGTGTTTACATGACTTGGGTTACGTGGGAAGAATGATATCCTGTACTTAATACAAAATTCATTAATTACTTTTTAATCTATCCTAAACTCAATTTTATGAGGCCAAAACAAGTTGTACCAGTTACCAGAGCTAAGCTAACATTATCTGTCAGTTAACCTGCACTGAGCTTTTAATTTTAAATCATGTCTTATATCGTTTGGTTGATTTCATTTATTTATCACTCATATTTTATTAAGCAGGTTTTGAAGTAATTATGTTTTTAATAATCTGAAGGTAAAAAGTTAATGATTTAATCAGCTCGTTTCTGTTTACATATTTCTCCAAAAGTTCTCGAATGATTTTGTACTAGCTAATTTTTTAAGAAAGAAATAATAAAAAGGTTACCTTAAAAAAAACCCCAAAAAAACAGTATTTAATACAATGTTTAATTACTAAATTTAGTGTTAAATTTTACAAGGAATTATGAATGCATGTTGTTGACCGTGCTAGCTAGTTTTAGCTTTAGGTGATAACTCCTCAGGTCAACAATCTTATCCAAATGTGGCAATGATTATGTTCACAGGGTTTGAAATGATGTCTGAAGCCCTTGTTTCTCAGACTTTTCATGTAGAATAAAACAAATGCACACATTTATACTATTTCAGCTCTCTCAGCCTACACAAACCCTCACCCTCCAATCACCTTCAGACTTTAGACTGTGTAAAACAACCAGTTGTTAACGTGGCAGATGGAGTGTAGTGGTGCATTGTCCAATATCTGCTTGACAAACTCTAAAATTCAAATTTCCACTTCATAAAATTTCATTTGCTGAGCAGTCCTTACCTTTAAAAATATCCTGACATCTCCCTCTCCTGCTTTGTCTTTCTTACATCTTTCTCCATTACTGGGTGTTGCACGCTGAGCTCTTTTTCCTCGCTCCGGGAAACACTGTCAGCTTGACATTAGCTAGCAGACAGATTTTGTGAGGAACTGCAAAAATGGTTTGTGTGTTTGGTGAGATTTGTTGAGCTGTTTGAAAAGTTGCATTTGAAATTACCACCCACTTAAAAACCTTATTCCTTTTATGCACACTCCTCTTTTGTAGCTCAGTTCAGCTAGTAGCTGAGTACTGCAACTGAACCTTTATTTACATCTGCACCATGAACATAACACGGAGATGAGAAGAAAGAAAGGATGTGTTGATGGCATAACTGATCTGTGGGATGTTATTATTTTCTAATAACTGAGTATCAGTGCCACAACTGGAAGTGAAACCAGGCTCCAACACACAAAAAATAGCTAATTTGCAGGTAACTATATGTTTTAGCCTGTCTATCAGATTAACTTGCTCATCACGTAATGGTACCAGTATAAGTCTGGTCCAGGTTAAGAAAATACTAGAATTTCACCCCAAAAAATGGAGCACAGACTTCTTGGGTGGTCTGCGTCTGAAGGTCAGCTTTACCACAGGTGAAGCTTAGCAGCCAGCTATCAGCTACAGTAGCCAGTGTCAGCACAACCGTCAATCAAAGCAGCCACAGGCCTAACTGTAAGCCTTAATGCTATCCACATGGGCGACTTTACTCACTGCCTGGCAATTTCCAACACTCTTTACAATCCACACCACCCATTTGCAATGCAGGCTTTTAAGTGAACTGTGGTTTAACAATTGTCCAAGAACTCTTTGCCAGATGTCCAAGTGAAAGAAGGAACGTACATATGCATGGCAGCAAGACACTTCCTTTACTGGTGCTCATTTATCCTCCATGTTTCCTTTATGAAGACAAAAACAAGCAGTGTAACTGGAAAGTATTAAACAGGTATTTCAGGGACAGCATCCACACACTCTATAGCAAGTAAATAAGGACAACTAATGCAGAGTGTGGGAAGAAAACATCAGACGTTAATCCCTGTTTGCGTGGCAGATCATGAGGCAACACAACCATTATTTAAACAGAACTATAGCAGCTGACAGGGAGCAGGAACACTGAAACACTGAGATAAATTCTAAAAATGTCTAAAAAACAACGCATTTAAAAGAATCCCGGAACGAGCTGCTGCTTTGCAGCATATCTGGTTTCTGCAGCTCCCCCCATTTACATTATCTGAGATGTAAGATAAACAACAATATTATGTGGAGGCGTTTCCATTAATTTACAGACCTGCTTTAACCCAGTAAACACTAATGGAGGAGTGCCGCTGTTCGCACTGTGAAAAGCAGAAGCCTAGAAAACACTTTGCTTTCTGTGCTGAGGGAAACAAGCGGAGTGAGGTGCAGCAGAATGGATCCGCGTTATCTGGCATTGTTCATCTTCTGCAGTGAGGAGATAATGTGCTTGCAAAGTGTTTCCAAATAGATTGAATCAGAACTAAGTCATCTTATTTTCTTGTCCACTGACTCTGAAATTCAGCAGTTTCATTCCAATATGAGAAATCTACTTCGTGTATAGTCTCAGATGTTAAAGTCGGCTTAGTGGGTAACGCATGTGCTGATCTGGAGTGTTGGAAAGGTAAAGATAGTAGGGAAATAAAAGGGAGGAAAAGGGAAAGCAAATAAATTAAGGTTAGGGGCAGGGAAAGAAAAAAAGGGAAATGACCAAGAAGAGGACATTTATGGAAAAAGGAAAAAGGCATGATTAAAAGAAATCACAGAAACAGGACAAAAGAATGCAGGGAAGAAAAGGAAGGTAAAGGAATAAGAAAATGTGAAGCAAGGAAAAGGAGGAAGGACAAGATATTAAATTAGGGAAAGGAAAAGTACTGAAGAGAAAGGATAATAGAAGTAGGAAAATAAGAAAGGTGAGGTAACAAAGAAAAACAGCAGAGAAGAAACGAAACGAAGAGCAAAAAAAAGAAAGTGGAGAGGAGACGACGGAAAAGCAAGGGGATAAAAGCAGGGAGGGAGAGAAGATGTTAAAATAGAGAATATGGAATAAAAGGAGGTTAAGAAAGGAGAGAAGAGAAAAGGGAAAGATTAGACAGAAGTGAGAGGAAAAGGGGGAAAAGAAGAGCAGAGGTGAGAAAAGAGTTACAAAGAAAAATGGGAAATTTGGTGAAAGAAAGTAGGGGTGAATTCGAAGAATGAAGGTAGAGGAAGCAGGAGAAGGAAAAGGACAGGAAATCAGAGAAATAAAAATGCAAATGCAAAAGAAAAAAGAAGAAAGGAAATATGAGGAAGAGGTGATGATGTGACAGGTGAATATGGAGAACAGGATATGTTGAGACGGTTGTGGGGGGGGACACAGAGCAGAGCTTTGTGAGGGTGCTGTTGCCAGGGCAGCCCATCCACTCCCTGTATCTCTTCTGCTCGTCGACATGAGATGAGATTTAATTCAGCGGCTCTCCTCTCCGAAGCGCAGACGAATGTACGGCCGAGAGGCTAAACGCATTCTTATTAATTCCTCGCTTCCTCCATTTCAATCTCCCCGTCATTGTAAGCGATCATAAAAGCACACGACCCACACTGCTCAGCTGTCTTTGCCGCACCGTCTCAGACGTCCTCACTCTCCAGTTTTGTCGGCCTCTTCTCGTTCCTCTTCCTTCTGTTTTCGCGCTCAGGGCTCAGTTTGACTTTGTAACCTCTTTAAATGCGTTTTTTCCCCCCAACAGTTTTTATTCCGTCTCCATAGCCAAACACAAGCTTTAGCAGGCAGCTACAAGTTGATATTGTTGGCTTTATTCAGCTGGTTCAACAAACTGTAACACTGGTCACTCTCTGTGTTAAGTGTTAGTGTATAATAAATGAGCGATTTTATCAGACTGATGATGGCCATAACTTTGTTACTGCAATCAGGCCCACAGACAGAGATAACAAAACCCAGTAGCAAAAACATAAATGCACACATTGACTGAGATGGATAAGCTGCCATCATAAATAAACCAACTGTAATTACTTCATTTTACATCAGGAATTCTACTTTGTCTCCCTGGGCTAATGTGTTCCCCAGCTATGCTTTCCCTCTTTGGCTGTGTGTGATGACAAGCTTGAAGTCACGAAATTGACGCTTTTAACATTTGTTATTGGCAAAACATTTGTTTAAATATAAAACCTGGCTGTAGTTTCAATATGGATACCGTGCAAAATCTCCCCTCGTTCATTATATTTCGCTTCCAAGGAGACAGACTTTCTTTTAAAAGAAGTTGAAAGTAATGAAAGGAGCTGTAGTTCTTCAGGCTTGCTGACGTTTTTCTTTCGACATTGTTTGCTTTTTCAATTATTTTCAGTCCAATCTGTGTTCCTGACTGTCTTCAGAGTATTTTGTTGTTTTGTCTCTTGGTTGTTCACTAATTTATAAATCTAATCTATAAATCATTCGAGCATACAACAGTGGATGAACCAGTGTTGTATCCACACATAACAGAAAACTGTAAAAAAACAGTTTTGAATTGCATCTTTAGGCAATTTGTTACCAGCAGCCTTTCATAAAAACACTTCATTTGACTCATTTCTGTAGTTGCATCAATCTGCATTAATACAAAATGAAAAATAAAAAATAAAAATAAAAGAACTCCATCCATTTTCTTCCACTTGACCTCATCAGGGTCGCGGTCCCAGCTACCATAGGGCGAGACCGGGGTACATCCTGGACAGGTCGCCAATCTGACGCAGGGCTTTAAACAGATATTAGCCAAAAGCTCAGCATGGTGTACAGTGTCTCCTTAACAAATGTGGGCACACTAGACAAGTAGAAGATAGAAGTGGTGGCTTTGAAAACTATCTATAGCAGATGAATAGTATCTGAAAGTTATGTTCTTAAGAAGCAGAATAAGAAAAATCTTGCAAAGATGTCACACAACCTCCTGACTTTCAATCAGCCCTTCCTCCTTAAGGAAAGATAA